GCTAATTAATGTTCAGTTACGTTTTATTGCAGGGTTTTTGCTCTTGGATATATATATATATATATATATATATATATATATATATATATATATATATATATATTTATATATATATATATATATATATATATATATATATATATATATATTATAGAATCTTCAGTCTGTTTGTTAAATTAATAAATATGTTTTAAATACTCCAGAAGAACACAAAGTAGGAATCACTGGTCCCTTATTAAAGTTTTTTGGTCCACACCCGGGTTCGTTTTACATCATAGTACGGTACGTTTAGCTAGTGTGAACATGTCTTCTGAACTCGGGTGCGCACTTGTGAACCGTACCCGAGTCCGCCTGAAAGAGGTGGTCTGGGGTACGGTTTATGCAAACTCTGGTATGATTCTGATGTAAATGCAACCGTACCAAATAACGAAAGTGAACCGCCAACTGTACAACAAACTATAATTTTCATAATGTTCGTTTGTGTGTGTGTGTGTGTGTTTGTTTGTGTCACGTTTCGTACCTTGGTGACATGCACGGGACTGAGCCACGGCAAACACAGTGATACACAGTGATATCTGCTTGTCTCCTCCAAAAGCAGCTTCTGCAGACACTGTGTGATGTTCTGAATGTTTTTAATATTTTTGCGGCAGATGGACGCGAGTCGCTTTCTGCATGTCCAAAACCAAAAGCTTCAGTTAAAGCAGAATGACCGCGATGTGTGGACGTCTTTCCATTTCAGCGCTTGCTTTCGTGACCGTCACCTAGCAACCGCCGTGAACAAAACAGCAGCTCGATGACGCAAGCATATCGGGGTTCAGAAGGAAAAAAGACAGTGTGAACACAAACCAACCGAGGAGGTGGCAAGGGGGGACAATCTAACTTGGGTATGGTCCAGGCAATTAAACCAAGTGTGAAAGCACCCTAAATTATCCAATTCATTCAGACAGTTATTAAGGAGAAGAAATCAGGCTTTAATTTTCTCCTTCATTGATTGTTTATTTTATTTTATTTTATTTCTATTAACCTGGCTAAGAGGTTAATAAGCAATAAAACAATTGTGGCCCAGTTTGCAATGAAAATACTCCACTATTTAGAGCAAGGTAGGGCCCCAAAAGGCAGGGTCCCCGCGGGGTCTTAAAAGTATTAAAAAGTCTTAAATTAAAAAATCAAAATTTATGGCTTTAAAAAGTCTTAAATTTGCTGTTCTAGGTCTTAAATATTTTAGCACAGGTCTTATTTTTGCGATGTCCATGTAACGCTACATCTAATGCTTATTTAAATTCTTTTTGTTGTTGTTGCTAGATTTTTGGGGTGTTGTAGTTCTATATTTCACAAGTCCAATTGTAATTTGCGGTATTACAACTACAAAAAAGTCAACTTGCAATAGCCAATCAGCTTTCTGTTATTAAACTCAGTGCGCGCGGCGAATGTAATGTCATCGCTGTGTTTGCGGAAGTTCGCTTTGAGTGCGCGCGACATGATTTTGGCTGGCAGAGTATGCCGTTATTTCACTGACACATGTCGCAAACGCAGTTTTATAAGTCGGGAGCGTTGTAATGCGAAAGAGCGAAATTTAAATTACTTTATTTTACCCCTAATTTTGTGCTTTTACATTTTCTCTCGCGTGTTTTTGATATTGCGATACAGGTCTTAAATTTAATCCTTAATGGTCTTAAAAAGGTCTTAAAAGGTCTTAAATTTGACATTATGATATCTGCAGAGACCCTGAAAGGACTCTGCTTAGGGCCCCCAAATGTACAAAGCTGACCCTGATTACATTTTTGTACATTCAGTTGACCAATTTCAGAATCTGAATAAAAAAGCTGCTGTAGATACAGCAAGGGGTTAGCTCAAACAATTCACAGTATTTATGCCTAAAAAAGGAAGGTGACATTAAATAAACTTCCTTGTTTATTAAGCTTTTAAATTAGTTCCACCTTTATTGTTTCCTTTTTTTGTTCCTATTTAAATAATGCCATTGTTTAAACTGAGTTATATGGTTCAGTACAGTTTGGTATGAGTCACCCTGATCAGGCTTGAATTTGTCCAAATGTATCATTAAGGCCAGTTTTCACCACACATACAGTAGGAACGGCCGTAGGAACCCTAGTTAACCTAGTTGCCGTCTGTTGCCGTTGGTCGAGTTTGTTTTCACCCGACTGAACATGTTGAATCTGCATTTGTTGGATCTTGGACAGTCTGAGCAGTGTGAGATGGTTTTCAAACAAATGGCAGCAAGCTCTGACTTAATCTGACTGTAGGCAGTATTTAAAATGACAATTTAGGCCAGAGAAGAATTAATAGATTTTTTTATTGTGTGCAGCAGTTGTAGAGGAAGTGTGAATTTGACAGTTATTTTTCGATAACATTCTAAACCCAACGTCCAACTTTGTTGCCGTTTATCTGTTATTTGTAGATGTGGCATACAGTATGCCAGAAAGTTGCAATTGACAATTTTTGTTCGAAGAAGAAAGAGTTTTGGGCCCTCCACGTATTGCGTTTTTTTTTTTTTTTTGCTAAGTCCAGTTTATTATTTTAAATGTTGAAGCACTGCAAATAGGGTTGGGCGATACTGGTATTCGGTACCAATCAGTACTGAAATTTTAGAAACATCCGTTTCCCGCTAACATTTGAACACTAACATTTGGCTATGAACATTATAGCCAATAAATAGTGTTTTAGTATGCGGCTCAACATCGCTCAAATGTTATCGAGAAATAGACATTTTTTTAAATTCCAGTACCTATTGGTAAAGAATGCCAGTATCACCTAACCCTAGCCACTAGTGTGTGCAAATAGAAAGGTTTTTTCCCTTGTCTTGCATGTACTAGTGACAAGCTCCACTCTTTTGGTACTACAGTGTTGTACTAGATATACTTGGAATAAGTGGTATGGTACAGTATGGTTCACTATTTTTTGGTACTTTTGACAATGGAAACAGAAATAGATGTACTGTAAATTACCAAACCAAACTACTTAGTGATATGATGAACCTAAAGTATACATTATGTACATTTACATGGACAACATTACTTTGATTTTTAATATGATTAAGAAAATACTCTGATTAAGAGTCTACCATGTAAACAGACATTTTTGGATGACATTAATCCAATTAAAATCATAATCGAGCTAAACAGAAATCAAATTAAGACATATTGGAGTATTCCTATTTTAGTCGCATTATTAAGTGCAGTACAGACATGTCAACTCTTTAAACTATTACTGTTGTGTAGGACTTTTCGCCGCATTTTGTGATGGGATAATCCATTCGCACACAGCTGTTTGACACTCACAATTTTTTATTTTTTTTTACTGAGTCAGTTAAGAACCAGAGTCACCCACATCTTTGAGTGCATACACAGAGTAAACTCCTGGGGCCTCATGTATGAAGACTTGCGTTGAATTCATACTAAAAAATTGCGTAAGCACGAAGCTGTAAATGTGCGCATGCAGTAAAAAATTCAGATGTATGTATATTCTCTTTGTACATCCGACTTGACGTGAACTTAAACTGAGCGCATGTGCACGAACGCACAACCCCTCCCTGCGTCCTCCCCCTAATAAATATGGTAATGACTCTACTTTGGCAAAGCCAAACGAAAAAGTAATGGCAAAAGCAAGTAAAAAGGGAAACTTTTATCAGAATGTGAATTTGAGGTGCCCCTTTCGGATATATACCGGAGAAAAACAGTGTTATTTGCAAGTTTGTCTGCCGGAATTAATAACAAAAAATAAATAAAAATCGAGTGGGAGAGTTTAGCTGACGGTAACACAGTGGGGTCTGAACATCACACTGTGAGTGAATAAAAAAAAAAATGGTCCGACGTTAAGGTTTAAAATTTTGTAGTGTCTATTTAGGCTACGTGCAAATAGCACATCTCAATGAAATGAGCTAGTTGAGTGATTACTACCCATCACAGTTTGATTGACAGAAACAACATAACTAAAGAGAGCAGCAAACAGCAGCGTGAGTGGCTCGTAAAGCGCATGGCAACATGTTTTGACGCGTTCGAACTCTGTTCGAATCCAGCATCTGATGAACTCATTCTTCTTTCCCTCACTACATATCAGATTTTGCATATGAGCATCACATATTATTTGTACATTTATTGAATGGAAATGTTTCCGATTCATGTATGCAAGTTCATCTTCAGATGATGCCTTTATAGCAATGTACGTGCAGTCAATCGCTCTGATTACTTTGGAAAAACCGGCGATCGCTGCAAATTGCGCTTTAATGTTTGGCTGGTCAACTGCATGGTATGGAAATCTTATATACCTGCTAGACAAGCAGTAGTGTAGTGTGCAATTTAACACAATTGCCTACTGGAGTCACCAATGGAAATAAAACAAACACACACAAGAAATGCACGTACACCAGGCATGAAGTTGGCGTGGACCAACGCACATTCTCACGTTTATTTCATCGTTAGTAAATCCAAACGTGATCTTGAAATCTGGCGTACGCTAAGTTTTTGTGCGTATGCAGCATTGATACATGAGGCCCCTGGAGACTTGTTATCATCACCGAACACACTTATTTTTTCTGTGAAATGCAGAAGTCTTCTTTCAATTTGGCATGCGGTATTAAATTCCCTTAAAACAACACTCTCCCACCAGCCCTTACTTCATACTCGCATCCAATGTCTCAGAGTTCGTCACGAGGGCATGAATGCTGAAGAGTTCAAATGTCGAGCTCCAGTTAACGTCAAAACATTGAAAAGTGAAACATAGCATGGTAATGTAACTGTTTATCGATTTATGTATTATAACTTGTCAAACGGGAACTTGAAAGGAACATTTTAAAAGCAGCTCATATTATTGCCTTATTTAAATTAAGATAAATAATTTGATTACTGATGTCTATGTAAACCTCATCAATGATTGTCGTCAATCATCTCTTTCCCTAAATTAAACCTTTTTATTTTGTTGCTAGGACCTTTTGTATAACTGTTTTGTTGATAATATTTTAATCGAACTTTATTCATCTGTTTCAGGTAACTTGAATCAGGATGTGGCACTCTAATGCTTGAACGTAACTTAACCTCCTTTTAAACATGGTGAGAGAGGCTCCTGAAACCAACAGTCTAAACGGGCAACACTGCTGCCAGCATGGACAACTCTTAACTTGAGCGTGATGGGGATGATAATGATAGTATACATCGCAATGATGGAAGAGCTGCATTGACAGAGATTAACCGCACTCACTCTAAGTGCACCGCTGCCAATCAGCATGCTGCGGATATTGTCGCTTAAATTTGGCCGCGTCTACCGATGCGGCAAGTTCCTCTTCATTGTAGCACTTTTTGTCATCCTGCTGATGAACACCCACAACCTGTTTGCCTCATTTCAGAGGAACGAGCTCACAGACCGTCGATTTATAGGCCTCAATAAATGTCCGGCCTGCTTTGGGACTAGCTGGTGCCGCAAGTTCATGAACGGGCAGGTGACCTTCGAGATGTGGGGTCGCCTGCGCTTTCTAGACTTCTTCAACGTAAAGAATGTTTTTTTCGCTCAATACGGAGAACCCAGGGAAGGAACGCGCAGGGTCGTGCTCAAACGCTTGGGTTCCAACCAAGAGCTGGCAGAGATCGATCAGAAGATCTGCAAACGGGCCACTGGAAGGCCTCGCTGTGATCTCATACAGAGTATGTACAAGACTGAGTTTGCCAGACTTAACGGGGATGTAAGACTTCTGACCCCGGAGGTGGTGGAAGGCTGGTCGGATCTAGTGCACTGCCCTTCTCAGAGGCTTCTAGACCGGGTGGTCAGGAGGTACGCCGAAACTAAGGATTCTGGAAGCTTCCTGCTGAAGAACCTAAAGGACACGGAGCGAATGCAGCTGCTGATGACGCTAGCGTTCAACCCCGAGCCGCTGGTGCTGCAGGTATTCACACACTAACCGATAAAACATCTCCTTGAAATGCATTCTCAAGTTGCCGAATCTTTCTTTTGATTCGAAAGCACTGTGTCTGATGCCCGCTTGAAAGTTAAAGGGATTAACGGCGCATCTTTGCATATTTTACAGTTCTGCACAAGGCTGTGTAAATAATAGATACTTTGAGTCTGTCGGTGGTCACTAAGAGATTTCTCTGCTTTTGGCAACCGCGTGCTTGTCCTCAAGAATTCCCGCTTACATAAGCCAAAGGCATTTGTTATTCCATAAGCATATTCAGTTTACATTAAAGATTCTGAGGAGATATACCAAAAGCTTGACCCAAGCATGTTTGTGATATGTTTGGATATGTGATCTTCATATTAAATTATATTAGACGTTTGTCAATAAAAATAACAATTCTTCATCTTGGAATTATAAGGTTCTATCTGCTTTCTGAATGATTTTGAGATAATGAGCTTTACAGTTTTTGCATTTTATAGCAGTTTGTGTGTAACATTTTTTTTTATTTTTATAAAAAGTCTTGAAATGTAAACAACTTGTTAAAAAAAACATCCCATGATGTAAATAAGTTGTCATTTAATAAGAATATATCAATAACTAATTTTGACAAAAAATGTCAAATAGAACCTTATAATTCTAAGATGACGAATTCATATTCTTCCTATTATTCACTTTTTTAGGGTCTCACATCAGCAATAATGCAAATTAACTTTTGGATAAAGGGTGCTGTTTCACCCTCTTAACCCATTTTAATTGGATCTTTATACTATAGTAATTTAAATGCATAGTTTACCCTAAAATAAACTTTTTGTCAATAATTACTCTTCCTTATGTAGGCATGGGCTGTTATAAGTTTCTGACGGTATAATAACCTTGGATAAAAATATTACGGTTTTACAGTATTGCGATTTCTACTCTAAAAAATATTCATTTTCGAAAATGAAGCGTGGCCGCAGCTGGAAAACAATGTTTTAATGAATTGCACATCACTTCAGTAGGAGTCGTGAATTCATTTAGCTAAACTGCGACATGGTCGTCTTGCGGAAATATTACAAACGATCCATCAGGTAATGTTTTTCCCCCCTCTCTCTTTTGGTAAAGCGCTGTCAACAAATATTCTTCCTCCATATCCCATAATGCACAGCGCATCGGCCTACGGCAGTTGGATTAGTCCGAAAGGCACAGTACTTTTTGCGGTTGGGTCTGTTTTAGTTCGGATCATATTCTCACCACAAACGAACCGCTCCAGGGTTCGTCTTGAAGAGGTGGTCTTGGTACGCTTTTTTGGTCCGCTTTTGGTGCGCACTCGAATACGATTGCTGCATTCACACCTGTCTAAACGAACCGCACCAAGAGGGAAAGCGAACTCTAGTGCGATTCAACCGAACTAAATAAGGCAGGTGTGAAGGCACCCATAGATATAATCCAGCAAACATAAATGGCTTCACTGGCAGTTTCCTCACAGTATCGAATATCAGTGCTGTTTTTAGTATCGTATCGAAGTTAGAAATTCTATTAGTCTAATTATTGTGACAATACGACTTAAAACATACTGATTATAACATTCGAAAAGTAAACTTTTGGATTCATAGGACCTTTAAAAAGTTTAAATAGGTGTTTGTGGTATTATAAAGTGCCCCTCGATATCATAGTTGTATGTTTATTATCACAGTATATTGAATTATTCAGAATATATCTGATCAGCAAAAAACAAGTGTACCAAAGCGACTTACTAAGTGGCATTTAGATAAATTCACACAGACTGTTTAATATTGCTGGATGATGAAATACATTTACACATCATGAAGTAACATCTAGAAGATGCGTCTCACATGCTCTATTTCTCCTGTATGTTTTTGTTGTGTTTTCATTCACACCAATGAGAGTCCTTGACTGCTCTTTTTTTTTTTTGCACCCCTCAGTCCGGCATTGATTTTTAGACCCAGCTAATCTATTCCAATTTCTTTGCGATTGACCCAGCTTGTCGAAGGCCTGGGCAAACAAAAGGACATCTCTGTGAGAGCAGCCAATATCCGTTCTCACCTCCCATCATTCACTCCATCTGCCACACCTCAAGCATTTTTCCGTGATAAAGGCAATCTGATCTCGCTCTCCGGAGAGCAAACCGCTCGATTTGATTAGCAACATACAGTTTAGCCCCCCCTCTTTTTTTTTGCCCTGCAACCTCGGGAGCATTTCGGTCAACCTAATGAAATGTCATTAGTTTGCTGTGGATGCTGCTAATGAATTGGCTCCTAATCCATAGATGCGATTAAGTGTGATCTTCACCAGCGTTTCCTCTTTCTTCTCCTGCTGAAAACATGATGTTAAAGCTAACAGATGCTTGTCCTTTCAGAATGCACTAAATGATTCATCACACTTCCTGGAGCTAAGAAAAGCTAGTTTGTTTTTTCTTCCTCTAGTTTGCCAGAAGTTATAGCAAGCTTTTGCGGTTTCATAAGGCAGGAAAAATCTGCTTTCCAGTTGTTGTTTTTTTTTACTGTTTCGGGAACCTGATGCAGCTGCCTTGCTGTCAGTCAGTGTGTAAGAATAAGCTTCCTATGGCTTTCAAAGCACCATAACATAAGGGCTGCCCAAACCTGGAGAAATAAAGTGATGCAATATAATAGTCATACAGTGTATAAGTGTGTAAAATACTGTAAAATTAGATTTAAAACAATATATTTTAAATAACATATTAAAAGTTGCAACATTGCAAAAATAAGGATCTTTTCTTTTGTGTTGACACAACCGAGTCAATTTAGTTATTGCAGAAAACAAATGTATTTATTGGTTGTTCTGCCATTCTATCGGGGTTGTTGATTGGATGGAGGCAGATCTGAATACAAGCTTGCAGGATGGCAAACATTTCATGGTGAAAACAATCTGTGGTCACTTAAGACATGCAAAAAAGGATGCACAGGTTTCTGCACTAACATTGCATTTGAACCAGCTTTCTTGCCTTTTTCTAAGGCTGTGCGATTAATTGAAATCGCATCAAAAACACGAATTGGACATGCACGATTTCTAAATCGCCTTACACCATGATTTTCCCATAGTATGGTATTTAAACAATCTTAAACAGAGCATGAGAACAGGGGACTGAGGGCGTACTCGCACTACAGTTGCCTTGGACCTGGCCGTCCCCCCTCCTATCTCCCCCATTGGCCTGCACTTACATTACATTCGGGCCTGGGCGCGCTTACATCACCGAGATGCGGCAGGGAAGGGTGAGAAGGGTGCACGATGTAGCCTATTTGAGGACCCGAAGGGAGACGCAAGATTACCAAGAGATTATCATTCATTTGCGGGCATCCGGAGACTCACGAAACTTCCTGCCCTTCTCCTGATTCTCTCTTCATATAGCTGTATGCCTATTACATATCCATAAAACACAGTGATATAACCACGCTCGGATCGGATTGCTTTAACATATTAAAAGTTGCAACATTGCAAAAATAAGGATCTTTTCTTTTGTGTTGACACAACCGAGTCAATTTAGTTATTGCAGAAAACAAATGTATTTATTGGTTGTTCTGCCATTCTATCGGGGTTGTTGATTGGATGGAGGCAGATCTGAATACAAGCTTGCAGGATGGCAAACATTTCATGGTGAAAACAAACTGTGGTCACTTAAGACATGCAAAAAAGGATGTACAGGTTTCTGCACTAACATTGCATTTGAACCAGTTTTCTTGGCTTTTTTCTAAGGCTGTGTGATTAATTGAAATCGCATCAAAAACACGAATTGGACATGCATGATTTCTAAATCACCTTACAGCATGATTTTCCCATAGTATGGTATTTAAACAATCTTAAACAGAGCATGAGAACAGGAGACTGAGGGCGTACTCGCACTACAGTTGCCTTGAACCTGGCCGTCCCCCCTCCCATCTCCCCCGACGGCCCGCACTCACATTACATTCGGGCCTGGGCGCGTTTACATCACCGAGATGCGGTGGGGAAGGGTGGGAAGGGTGAGAAGGGTGCGTGACGTGGACTATTTGAAGACCGGGAGGGAGACACAAGATTACCAAGAGATTATCATTCGTTTGCCGGCATTCGGAGACTCGCGAAACTTCTCGCCCTACTCGTAATTCTCTCTTCATATAGCCGTATGCCTATTACATATCCATAAAAAACAGTGCTATAACCGCGCTCGGATCGGATTGCTTTAACATATTAAAAGTTGCAACATTGCAAAAATAAGGATCTTTACTTTTGTGTTGACAAAACCGAGTCAATTTAGTTATTGCAGAAAACAAATGTATTTATTGGTTGTTCTGCCATTCTATCGAGGTTGTTGATTGAATGGAGGCAGATCTGAATACAAGCTTGCAGGATGGCAAACATTTCATGGTGAAAACAAACTGTGGTCACTTAAGACATGCAAAAAATTACGTACAGGTTTCTGCACTAACATTGCATTTGAACCAGCTTTCTTGGCTTTTTTCTAAGGCTGTGTGATTAATTGAAATCGCATCAAAACACGAATTGGACTTGCATGATTTCTAAATCACCTTACAGCATGATTTTCCCATAGTATGGTATTTAAACAATCTTAAACAGAGCACGAGAACAGGAGACTGAGGGCGTACTCGCACTACAGTTGCCTTGAACCTGGCCGTCCCCCCTCCCATCTCCCCCGACGGCCCGCACTCACATTACATTCGCGCCTGGGTGCGCTTTCATCACCGAGATGCGGTGGGGAAGGGTGAGAAGGCTGCGCGACGTAGCCTATTTGAGGACCGGAAGACGCGAGATTACCAAGAGATTATCATTCGTTTGCCGGCATCCGGAGACTCGCGAAACTTCCCGCCCTACTCATAATTCTCTCTTCGTATGCCTATTACATATCCATAAAACACAGTGATATAACCGTGCTCCAGAGTTCGTTTCCATCGAGCCGAGACAACCTCTTTTAAGCGATCTTGGAGCGATTGATTTGGCGCGGATCTGAGCGCTATTGGTGGTTTCACATATGCCAA